CACTTAACCACGACACCAAACTGGCTCTTAAAACATTAGCTCTGTGAGCTGCAAACCTACTTTTGATTTATTGACATTCGCCACAGAAATCTCATGCTCAGAGTTCTGAGTCTAGGACCCAGGCTAAAACATGAAATGGCTACGTGATTAAGAGAGTCTGGCAAAGCAAGCGATGATGCAGCAGCAGAACTGGAAGCAGGAGATGGCCAGTTGCACTGGGGGCCTGATCCAGCCCCCGGGCCACATGTTTGACACCCCTGCCATGGAGTCCATCCTTCAAAGCAGCCATTTTCTCCAGGGGAGCTGATTTCTGTCAGCTGGAGATCAGTTGTAAAAGTGGGGGGGTCTCCAGGCCCCACCTGGAGGTTGGCAACCCTACACATCTTGCAAGGACAAGAAAGGACAATGGTGCTTGGAAAGTTGAAGACAGCAGGAAAGGAGGAAAACCCACCATGAGATGGAAGGACGCAGTCAAGCCATGGCCCTCGGTTGGCAAGATCTGAACAAGGCTGTTGATGGAGGACATTAATTCATAGGATTGCCATGGGTTGGAAATGACACCACATAATATAATACCCAATTAAATAATTTAATATTCTTGTTTTATTTTTGTTATTACTACATATAATAAATGTTGAAAGACCTGCTTAGGTTTGCACTTCCAATTATTATTTGCCAACAGTATTTCTTCCTCCTATTGCAATACAAATTTGGGTTCAAGGGTTTGTTTTCACAATGATCGTATCTCTTTCAATCTAATTGTTTATGAGATGATGATGATGATGATGGGTTATTAGGAAGGGGATTGAAAGCAAATCAGCCAGTATGATAATGGCCCTGTATAAATCAATGGTGCGGCCTCATTTGGAATACTTTGTATAGTTGTGGTCACCGCCCCATCACCCCTTGGCAAATAGAAGGGGAAGTCGTGGAAGTAGTGACAGACTTCACGTTCCTGGGATCCCAGATCACCACAGACTGTGACTGCAGCCATGAAATTAAAAGACGCCTGCTCCTTGGGAGGAAAGCGATGGCGAACCTAAACAGCATGATAAAAAGTAGAGACATCACCCTGCCAACAAAAGTCCGCATGGTCAAAGCAATGGTATTCCCAGTAGTCATGTATGGCTGCGAGAGTTGGACGATAAGGAAGGCCGAGCGCCGAAGAATAGATGCTTTTGAACTATGGTGCTGGAGGAGACTCTTGAGAGTCCCTTGGACTGCAAGATGTGCGACTGAACAACAACAACAAGCAGGACGAAGCTTTACATTACACTTCAATTAGATGTTTCACAACATATCATGCATTCAAGGCAGCTTTGAATACACTACAGTCCGGAAGAGGGCAGGGTTTGGGGAGGGGAGGGGCATCAGCATGGTCCAGTGCCACAGAGTCCCCCCTTCAAAGCAGCCATTTTCTCCAGGGGAGCTGGTCTCTGTCAGCTGGAGATCAGTGGTAAAAGCGGGAGATCTCCAGGCCCGACCTGGAGGCTGGCAACACTACATGATAGAGGTTTACATGGGATAGAGAGTGTAGAGATAGAAGTACTTTTCTCCCTTTCTCACAAGACAAGAACTTGTGGCTACTTAATGAAATTAATGAGCAGTAAACTTAGAACAGATGAAAGGAAGTACTTCTTCACAGAGAGAGTAGTTACCACATGGAATTCACTGCCTCAGGAAGTGGTGGTGGCTACAAGCATAGAGGGCTTCTTCAAGAAGGGATTGGAGAAACATATGGATCAGTGGTCCATCAGTGGCTATTAGCCTCAAGGTATAGATGGAACACTATGTCTGGGGCAGTGAGCCTCTGTATTCTTGGTGCTTGGGGGACAACAGTGCTTCTGGCGTTCTGGCTCTGCTGGTGGACGTCCTGATGGACCTCCTGATGATTTTGGCCACTGTGTGACACTGAGCGCTGGACTGGATGGGCCATTGGCCTGATCCAACATAGTTTCTCTTATGTTCTCCCCACCCACACCATTTATACCACTTTTTGACAGAACAGTAGGCTTGCCATGTCCCCCCGGGGGGCGGGGAAATCCCCGCCCTAGAGCCCCGTTCTTTTGGTTGCAATGCTATTCTCTTGCTATTGTTTCATTTGCAGCTTTTCATATTTAACATATTTTACCTGCTATGGTTTCTAGTGCTGTTGCTGTGGTTTACTGGATTTTATAGTTATTTGGATCTTAGGAGTTAGGTTTTCAAATTCTGTTCCATAGGGCTGCCAAGTCAGAAACTTACCGCAGTGGGGGACTCCCGGCCGGTGTCTGGAGCATGCGTGTGCGTCGCATCCAAGTCACCCGGAAGTGACGTGGGTACACCGGGCACGCTGGGGGCGGGGCCACGGTAATCCAAGGGAAAACTCTATGCTTTTCCCTCGGATGGTCCTGGCCCCGCCCCCAGCGTGCCCGGTGTACCCACGTCACTTCCGGGTGACTTGGATGCGACGCACACGCATGCTCCAGACACCGGCCGGGAGTCCCCCACTGCGGTAAGTTTCTGACTTGGCAACCCTATGGAACAGAATTTGAAAACCTAACTCCTAAGATCCAAATAACTATAAAATCCAGTAAACCACAGCAACAGCACTAGAAACCATAGCAGGTAAAATATGTTAAATATGAAAAGCTGCAAATGAAACAATAGCAAGAGAATAGCATTGCAACCAAAATGACAATAGTAGGCATGATTGGATTAGGTACGATATGCAGAGGGGTAATAGGCATGGAGAAATCACCGTTGGTAATGAGACAAGAAACCAATAACTGCTGTATCCAGGTTGGTGTCAAAGTCATATTGGATGGAAGCGATTTCATCAACAAAGTGCTGAGCTGAATAGCCGATGAATAATAATCATCCTGCGATGCCGCCCCCAGCAAGGAGTCTGCTGGTAGAAACGGCTTCACTGGACAGTGCTAGGCAGACACATCAGAAAGTACTCTTCCTTTGCCACTGTCAGACTCCCAGTCCAGTTGCACTCAACAACTCTCTCTTGACAGTGATCAGTTTATTGAGATGTATTTTTGTTGTTGTTCAGTCGCACAGTCGAGTCCGACTCTTCGCGACCCCATGGACCAGCTCCTGCCAGGCCCTCCTGTCTTCCGCCGTCCTCTGAAGTTGGCTCAATTTCATGTTCTTTGCATCGATGACACTGTCTAACCATCTCATCCTTTGCCGTCCCCGTCTTCTTTGACCTTCAATCTTTCCCAGCATCAGGGTCTTCTCCAGGGAGTGCTCCCTTCTCATTGGGTGGCCAAAGTATTTGAGCTTCAGTTTCATTATCTGGCCTTCCAGGGAACAGTCAGGGTTGATTTCTTTCAGGATTGACTGATTTGATCTTCTTGCAGTCCAAGGGACTCTCAAGAGTCTTCTCCAGCACCATAGTTCAAAAGAATCTATTCTTCGGTGCTCAGCCTTCCTTATGGTCCAACTCTTGCAGCTATACATGACTCCTGGGAATACCATTGCTTTGACCATGCGGACTTTTGTTGGCAGGGTGATGTCTCTACTTCTTATCAT